GGCATTTAACAGAATGTATGTGGGCTTTACAGATGAGTGGGTATTATGAGAGGGTGGCATGGATGTTGGGGATAAAAATGTGGCACACAGGTCAGCAGGTGAGAGACTGTACAGGCAGTAGAAACACCTGCATAGCACTGTTAACTGTGCTCTGAACTGTCTTACAACAGTACGAGCTTATCTTGGATCCTATCATTCATTAATTAGTACACAGCGGCTCCTCACTTTTAGAGAAGCCACTCGCATACCACTGCCAAGGGAAGCATTGTTGCTGTAAATGCACATACATATAAAAACATTTTTGTTAGACTGCGAAATGCTCAGAGACATAGGGATAAATCACTTAAATTGTTTATTTTTAAATTATGTTTATTGTTCATTCTAACTATGTACTGTTCTTATAGAATAATGGTGGAGATTTAGAAAGTGTCTTGTAGTAGATAATGATTTTTATTACCGTAGAATTCAACTTCTGCAGATACTTAACAGATAGAGAGACACATTATTGGTAGATAGAGAGATTAGATAGAAATTGGCTACCGCTCTGCATTTAATACACACTGAGCCGCTCAAATCCCTCAAGTGGTTGTGAATAACTAAGTGTACCTGGAGATTCATCAGGAAAGATACCATCGCCAGGCTAAACATGCACACATTCACACCTTGAACACCCTGAAATTTATATCGGCTATTAGGCAGGATAGTGGTGGCTAGCAGTTTTTCACTAGCAGGGGGAACATGTAAGCCTTTATTAATTCGGATAACAGTTGAGCAAGGCCACCAAGAGAAGATCTGGAGCCTAATTTCACTTGCTGAATGGCCATGAACAAGGCACTGTGGGCTTCCAGGTACTTGTGGTGAAAAAGCAAGGTGAAGATTAGCGGATGCCTTAAGACTTGAGCCTGAAGTCAAAACTGGGGCTAACGGTAACAAAAAAGTTGTAAATTTAAAAGACAAAGCAACTCCTCGATCTCCATACATTAAATTTATGAAAAACGTCTTATTTTATTGAAGCCTTTTCCCCTGTGGGCAGTTATCTAGCAGGGTAAAGTGAACCATGAGGTGGCATTTAATAGCGCATTTCCGTTCAGCGTCAGGCCTCTGGCTCTGACATCTGTGCTGAGTTACTCACACAGCTGTCCCAGACAGCTGTGGCACCCGTGAACTTCATTCATCCTAACACAGCAATGGACCATGGGTGGCTGACTTAGAGTAAAAGTAGTGTCCCCTAAGCTCTTAGGAAGGTCTCGGCTGAAACTCCCATGGCCAAACTTTTCAAATACGTGTAATTTTCTCTTAAAAAAGATGTTCACCGGGGCAAGGAAAACTGCCGTCACTTAGATCAGTATTTTTTCAGCCACTGGATCTGAAATTCCATTTAGTGGGTTGCAACCAGCATTTTATTTCTAAATCAATAAAACAGAAACAGTGTGAATTCTATGTAGTATGGGAAATGTTGCTGCACGGAACTTTTCTGGTCTCTGTACGTGTGTGTGTGACTAGACATGTGCGTGTGTGGCGTATGTATATGCTGGGTGTATACATACGCGTTTGTGTCCACACACACGCATCCAATGTATTCTATATCCTTAATCCAGCTTGAGATGTAGAATATTTCTCTTACTATGGATAATGGTCAAAAAGGTCAAAAGCCACTGTTCTGGTCGTGAGAAATGCTACCATTACCTCGTGAGGCCCTTCCACTTGGGATAACCTGTAATCCCGAGGTGCCAGGACTCAAACTTTTCTGCTTAATATCAACTAAACATACCTACTAGATGCTATGATGCTCCCACTAAAACCTACTGTCTCTATTTTTTCCATTCTATTTTTTCTAATGACGAGACTTTTTATCCGGGTGAATCTGAGGAACACAAGGGGTGATCCGGTGATTTAAAATTCAGAAAGAGGTATTTGGTCTTCATCCCCTTTCAGGGCCACGGAGCTCCTAAAACCTGTGACCCCTCCCGTGAAGACAGGCACCAAAGTGTCTTTGGTTATGCTAATGAGGCAAGTCTAGGAAACTTCCTAAGCTGTAGGGGCTGGTTCCCAGGGAAGCCCACCCTGGGTTTAGCAGGGTGGAACTCTGAGCCCTACCCCCTGACCCCCGGGGAGAGGGGGGTTCCTGGTGACTGAATTTAATCACTACTGGCCAGTGATGTGATCACTCACACCTTTGTAATGAAGCCTCCCTGAAAACCCAGGAAGCGGGAGAACTTGCGTTGGTGACCAGGGGAGGTGCTGGGAGGGAGCGTGGCACCTCCACACCCTTTCCCCACACCTCACCCCCTGCATCTCTTCCATCTGGCTGTTAGTGTGTTCTAGCCTTTTGTAACATGCGGCGATCTAGCGAGGGAAACATTTCTGAGTTCTGTGAGCCGCTGTAACACCCCAGAAGTGGGTCATTGGAACCTCTAAATCTCTAGCGGGTGGGGCAGAAGCCTAGGTGATAAGCTGGACTTGCAGCTGGTCTCCGAAGTGAAGGGGAAGGGCAGTCCTGTGGGACTGAGGCCCTCAACGTGTGGGATCTGCTGCTGTCTCTGGGTACATGGTGTCCAAATTGCTTGGTGCGGTGGGAAGAACCCACACACACCGGAAAGGGGTGCACAATAGGAGAGGCCCAGGAATAAGGCCTAATTTGGCAGGAAGTAGCAAAAAAAAAAAAAAAAAAAAAAAAAGAAAGAAAGAAAACAGTGTCAAGATAACAGCATCACAGAAAGAACAGCCAGATCTTGGTTGCTTTCCTCAGGAAAACAAATGCCTTCTCTCAGGCTACCAGCCTACTATTAAGTGGGAACTTAGTTAAGGGAATTGGTCAGACATAACCTCCTTATCCCATATCTGAGAACTCAAATTAGCACTCAGGGGAAGGTATGCTTCTCGAAGCACTAATCAAGTACACACTATCTAGGTGGCCTAAAGTTCCCAAGTTTCCATAGAAGTAAATCAACATTACAGAAGTAAACTTAATATCCGAGATGCTATTTGCCAAATATGTCAGAGGAGATCTAGTTCTCCTCTTCCAGGTGGCTTCTTGCATACCCGTGAGGTATGTAGCTTCAGGAACTAAAAGGGGGTGCAGGGGGAGGGGGCTAAGAACTTAAGGATAATTAGGATGGGTCAGAGGCCCAGTACAGAAAGGCTGTGTGTAGGGAAGCAGAGCCATGAACCCTGCTGTAGCCTCCCCTCCCCTCCCCTCCTCTTTGAAATGTGTAGGAAGTGCCCTGGGCATCAACAAAGTAGCCACCAACTTCCCACAGAGCAGGTAAGCAAGCTTTCCATTTATGCATCTGGGATGCGGCCTCCATCTGTGACCTTCAAGGGATAGGTTGGAGTCAAGGAAATGTGTGCTACGTGTGGGGCCCAAAGTTCTGGCTGTGTGATCTTGAGGAAGACCCTTGCTGTGCCTGAGGCTCACCCCTCTTCTTTATCCAGAAGGGTGCTCCTGGGATTCACTCATGACCTAGGGCTCTCCACTAGAGCAATAATACTATACTGTAATGTAAACTTTGGAAGTCCATATCCTCAGTTGACCGTGAGCACCTCAAGGGCAAGGTATTTGGCATTTCTTTGCATCCCTAACACCTCCAGTGGTACAAAGTTAGGTGCCAGTAAAAGGTGACAGGGTAAAAGGGAAAGCATTTGATTTACATCATATCAACATGTGGTCTTCTCATGAACCATGGCGTCTAGGGACAGAAGACAGCTAAGATCGTCAAGATGGAGATGAGGGTGGCAGGTGGGGGGTGTGGGGGTGGGTGGAAGACAGCTAAGATTTTTAGGTGTTAAAATCAACACATCAGAGGCACTCAGCAGTGAAAAGATGGCTGGTGCAGACATTTAAAATTAGCTTCCCTAACAGTTCCTTAGCAACGCTCTATCAGAACATTAGGGCTTTTAATGTGCACTGTACAACGTTCACTCAAATAGCTAGGAAAGGGCCACCATTAAGTGATGCTGAACAAAAAGATTGGAAAAACCACATGACTCAGAACACTCTCCTCATTGCCCTTATGGAGAGGAACAAACAACCAGATTCTCTGTTGCCCCTCCCTCCCACCCCATTAAGGGTGCCAAACCCAGGCCACAAAGACTTGTGTTCTCCACTTCAGGTGGTCTAGGTGTTGCGTCTATTTGCTTACAAGTGATTGCAACCCTTCTTTTTCTTCATTGAAGGGAGGTGGGTCAGTGACGCTGGTTTATGTCAGAGCAATAAAGTAAAATAAATACTCCCAACTGCTAACAATGGGAGCAAAATACTTCCTTGGATGAAGTAAGACATCTGAAGCTCATACTGGCTAGTGGGGAAATCTGGGGGGCTAAAATGCTTTTATAGGAGGAGCAAAATACACAAGGTCAAAGTGATGGTGAGAAATAAAGGCATTAATATAGTATTATTAATGTCTTTCTTTAGAGACATGCTATTCCATCGAGGAAAGTGAAGTCAACAACAAACTAGTAAACAAAGATTTCATTGTACCTATATTTAAATAATGGAGTAAGATACCATTTTTAAATATAAAGGGCACCAGACTGGAAGTCAGAGTGCTCCCCCCCAACCATATACTGGGCATGTCCTGGATGTCACCATGTCGTGTATCAACTGTGCATCTCCTGGCAAAGGTGCCATCAGGGCATGGATTTCGTTGTTGTAAAAGGCACATCATCACTGCTCGTAAGTATAAGCTATCTTATCTCATAATTAACTCTTCAGACGAATGTGCAAAGCAAGTAAAATAATGTAGAAGTTGATATTCTTATTTCTAGAGACATCTCGATGATGCAGGTGTTTGAATTCAACCAGAATCCAAAGCCAGTCATAGTCAGTCATCCAAACCACAACTTCACACTGAAAAATACTCTCTTCTCACAATGATCCCAAATTGGCACTCTGTCAGCAAGTGCTTCGTTAAACATGGAAAATATGCGAGCTAGTTGGGTACAGAAACCAGGGGCCTGATTCCAGTAGGTGTCAGTTACTTGCACGCCATGGGCCTTACCTCTGGAGCTCGGGAAGGAGTTGTTGAGCTGCTCCATCACTTCCTCTAACCCTGTGCTTGTGTCCTGGGGAGGACTTAGCAGGTCTTCCTCGCCTTAAGGAAAGCAAGCACAAATAATGGTAAGTTAGGTTTACAGAACACAGAGAGACACTTAGAGAAACAGCCCACAGTCCTATTTAAAAAGTCATCATCAGGGTGCCTGGGTGGCTCAGTCAGTAGAGCATGTGACTCCTGGTGATCTTGGGGTCATGAGTTTGAACCCCAGATTGGGTGCAGGCATTACTTTAATATATAAAATAAGGGGCGCCTGGGTGGCTCTGTCAGTTAAACGTCCAACTTCAGCTCAGGTCATGACCTCACGGTTTGTGGGTTCAAGCCCTGTGTCGGGCTCTGTGCTGACAGCTTGGAGCCTGGAGCCTGCTTTTAGAATTTCTCTCTCTCTCTCCCCCACGTGCACTCTGTTTCTCTTTCAAAAATAAAAACATTTTTAAAAATTTAAAAAAATGTTTAAAAGGTCATTTTAAATTCATTTCCATTTGCTCATAAATAACAAATAAAAATAACCTCTCAAGCTGAATAAGTGGGGGATGACTTCTTCAAGGGAAGAATTCCACGCAGGGATTTATCTATGTTCTGGTCTTTGGGGAAGAAAACAGTTTATCTGTTTGTAAGTGAAGATAAAATTGACATAAGTTTCTTATGCCCCATCAATAAAGGTGAAATGTTTTTCTTCGTAATAAAAAAATTAGATACTTGCAGTGTGCCTGTTCAACAAAAAGAAATGTGACATTTTGTATTCGCTTTAGGAAGGTAAGGAAGAAGTGGAGACACAGAGGTGTTTTCTCCACTCTTTACTTTGACATTTAACCAAAGATAAAAACAAAACTCAAGTACTTCTAAAGTCTACTGAAATAGGCAGAAATAAAAGTTCTACGTGACCTATGTCGGGAGTGAAATATTACCATTCTAAGGACCGTGGATACAGAGGACACTAGGGAGTAACGTTTCTTTCCTTACATGGGCTTATGTATCATCACCATCATTTTTGGAGGCTTCTAAGGGAAATTGTGTTTTTTTTCATTTTTGAGAATTTGTTTATATGAAGGGAGAAGGAGGCTTTGGAAGAAAAAGGAATTCGGGATGGACAGTCCTCGTCTGAGATTGGGAGCCCACTTGGAGATTTCGTGCACCTGTGTGTCTCTACCAATGGGTCACAGGCGACAGGAATACACCTCGAAGAGCCTTGGCAGCAAGGGAGAGATTTCTACACTGAACACAAAATTCCTTGGAACTCGGAACGTTACTGGAAAGTCATTTTTTCATAATCTTAAGTTCAGGCTCTATTTGTTCAGTGTCACTTCCATCTTAAACAAGCCCTTAAATGAGCCCTTGCTTCCGCAAATCAACATTAATGAAGATGCTGAAGGACAACCTCAGGTTCACGTCTGACTTGGAAATGACCAGACAGCCAGCGATGTAATGACTTAAAACATGCTCGTTATCTCCTTTCGTCTGTAGCGCTCGGACCTTCACTTATGATTATAATCCTGCATTCATTATTAAGTTTTCACCTGGGTTTTTTTTTTTTTTTTTAAGTGTAAGCTCAAACAATCCTTGGCACAAGGTTCACCACGAAGACAAAATCCTATCCCAGGAGGATGTCAGGCTGTATATCAACATCAGAGTGGAGGGCTTACGGGCCGAGGACAGATAAAAAGCCTCTATTTCTGAGAGTCTCATGGTGCTATACCATAGAAAACCTCTTTCAGATACTATGGACAAGAAATAAGTGCGGAAAAATTAAGATCACAAGATATAAAAAGAAGTTACGGTAGCTACCTACCAATCTACACACACACACACCTTATATTAATGCCCTTAGAAATGCAAAAAATGAAATAGAGCACCTTTAATTTCTTTTTTCCTGGGAGTTCAAACTACCATTATGTGGTGAGGAGGGAATGAATGAAACAGTGCCAGTAGGAACCGGATGCTGACAGCTGCAGAGATGAGTACACCTCTTTGTCCCATTACTGATGCACGTTTTGCCAAGTTGTGGAACAAGAGGCATCTGAATGGCAGTAAGTCTGCTTAAGTGACAGTCCGCCTTACAGAAGAAATCAGAACCAACAGAGATGCTCCTGAGCAGCCTTGTAACATTTCTGATGGGTGAATTACATCATACTGGAGCTCCAGGAACTCAGGAGTAATGTGATAGGATTCAAATACATTACAGTGATGGGGTCAGCCTTCCTCTCCCTGAGTTATTTCAGGGATCAGAGTTTAAAGCATAAACATGACGATGTCAACCAAGGTCATCTTTACAGATAAACTATCATCTGTAAGTCTCAAATGTAGGTGTCCAAGTAGAAATCTAACATTGGCTTGCTTTAATGGAAAACTTTCAGGATAGAGGTGAAGGTGTCCATTCAAATATTATTCAAGTGCCTAGTACATCCTGCATCGTACATATGTGAGTAAAGTATCGTCTTGTTTTCTTCTTTTCTCAAGATTTCCTCACTATGTAAAAAGTCCTCTGGGCTTAACTAATCTCTTTGAAGAATCAAAATCAGAGTCATCACATGTGTGCCTGAGTAGAGATGAATCAACACTGAAACATGCTTAAGGGCTAATATTTTCTATGTCAGTTATACTGGGAAAGTTAAAAACTGCTAAACGATACCTGAAATTCGAGTAACACCACTGGACTCTTTGATATTGAGCCAGATTTTAAGTGTCTAAAAAAAGAGCCATACAAATTACCACACAGTAAGGTGAGTTTATTTATACAAACCTTTATCAAGAGCCAACTGTATGCCAGGCGCTGTTGTTGAGTGTTGGGGATACAGCAATCAACAACATAAAAGCCCGGTATCCATGGAACTCACGGTCCTTTGGGGAGGTACACAGTCTAAACAAATAAACAAGTCCTACAGGTACATCACACGGTGATAAACCTTCCCAAGAGAGGATGAGTGAGGAACCTTCAGAAAGGGGAGTCTTGGAAGCCTTCATTGATGAGGTGCAGTTGGGCAAAACCTTTAAGAACATGAGGGCATGACTCATGTATATATGAGAACAGCACATGCAAGAGAGGGGAGTGTGATTGGCTTGCTCCAACAGCAAGAAGGTCAGTGTAGACAGAACGGAGCGAACAAGTACTGGGGGGAGCATGCGTTCCTGGCCTAGGAGGTAGGACTTGGTCATGTGACCTGCTTTGGCCAGTGGAATGTTGGCAGATACAAGGAGCGGTCTGTAATGTCCCTGGGTTGTAGGGCTTGTTCCCTTGTGCTGATGTGCTGTAAGGAGCACATGGCCCAGAGAGCCTGCTCATCCAAGAAGGAGGAGAGATCGGTGGGACAGACCCGAGCCTAACCTACAAGTTGGGAGTCAAGCCTAGATGTGCTGCAGCAGAACTCCAGCCAAGCAAGAGGTGTATGAATGAGAAATAGGTAACCTGAGAATTTTGTAATTATTTTGTCACACAGCAAGAGGTGTGTGAACGATGTATACTGTTGTAAGATATCAAATCAGCAAGCCACAAGTATTTATGCATCTTCTAATCCTATACTGATGTGTACCTTTAACAGCAACCCAAAAATGTGTTTAACAACACCGGTGATCACAGGCTCTCCCCTCCACCCCCACAAAAGGCAGTTATTTAACAAGAAAACATTACATCCCAGCTGTACACCCTAGGAATGCGGCCAGCCCTTATTCCTACTATACTGTTGCACTGCTTGCTCAAACAGCATATTGCTAATGGTCAAGGGATTGCATACTTAGTAAATGAAAGTGCTTTAACATTAATATTCAAGTACATTCTACTCCACGCTGATTCCGAAAAACGTGTAAAACAAAATCCTTTTTGAATTATTAGCTATAGCCTCCATAGCTTGTCTGAAGTTGGTCCAACAAAATGACTGAAACATTTAAAGCAAGGAACGCTTCAAAATAAGACAGGGTAAAGTTGGTTTTGAATATTCTTTAAATTCTGAAACTCACCATGGTTTTAGGCTTTACTTGACAGCAGAATAGCCCATCTGACTCAATTCCCTTTCCTCAACTGAAATGATCATGGTTCTACTTGCTTAAAAAATGACTGCACCCGGGGCAGATCAATTGGTTGAGCATCCGACTTTGGCTCAGGTCATAATCTCATGGTTTGTGGGTTTGAGTCGTGCACTGGGCTTTGCACTGACAGTGTGGAGCCTGCTTCTGATTCTCTGTCTCTGTCTGTCCCTCCCCTGCTTGTGTGCACTCTCTAAAATAAACAAAATAAAGTGGCCAGCCGGAACCGATGTAGCTTATGCTGAAAAGTCCTCCAAATCCTTTTATCTGCTATTTTGCTGATACCTAAGCATACTTTCTCTTTATCGAATAGAAGTGATGTATTAGACAAGTATTTTCTCTTAAAAGGGGGGCTGCATACAAACAACTATGCCCACTATTATTTTTCTTTAGATTACTCCTCTAAATCCCATTATGTCCTGAACTAGTTTCCAACTTGTGTATGATTACCTGATTGCCTCTATCTTTCCTTTCTCCAGTTTTTCAAAAGAAAAAACAATTATCCAGTATTTGATATTTAGTTTCAATCGCTTATTTTAAGTTAGGCTTTAGGGTAGCTGGTTTCATTTTTAAATACAATTGCTTTGCATAAGTTTTAAAATAGATTCTGGTATCCAGTGATGACGCCGATGATTAGCTGGTCAATGTTGAAAGGGGGACATTCAATACTGTGAATGATACAGTGAAACGTACTGACATTGATCGCCAATATTCTTTGAAGTTTATTTTTATTAGCATATAACATTCCTTTTTAGGTGTACAACATAATGATTTAAGATATGTATTATTGCAAATTGATGACTGTAATAATGTAGTTAACATTTATCACCAAAATACCTATACATTTTTTCTTGTGATGAGAACTTTTAGGATCTACTCACTTAGCCACTTCCAAGTATACAATCCAATACTGTTCACTGTAGTCTCCACGCTGTATGTTACATCCCTAAAACTTACTTATCTTACAAATGGAAGTTTCTGCCTTTTGCCTAACCCTGCCTTTGGCCATCACTAATCTGGTT